TATATATATATAAAGAAATATTCAAAGTGATGAGTAGCAAGAACCTACAACCAAGATTACCTTACCCAGCAAAGCTATCATTCAGAAGTGAAGGTCAGATAAAGAGCTTCACAGACAAGAAAAAGCTAAAGGAGTTCATCACCACCAAACCAGTATTATATGAAATGCTGAAAGGTATCCTTTAAGAAGAGGAAGAAGAAAAAGGTAAAGATACAAATTATGAACAACAAATACATATCTATCAACAAGTGAATCTAAAAATCAAGTGAATAAATAATCTGATGAACAGAATAAACTGGTGAATATAATAGAATCAGGGGCATAAATAATCTGATGAACAGAATAAACTGGTGAATATAATAGAATCAAGGGCATAGAAAGGGAGTGGACTGACTATTCTTGCGGGGGAAACAGGTGTGGGGGTGCGGGAAGAGACTGAACAAAAATCATACACCTATGGATGAGGGCAGTGGGGCAGGGGGGTAAGGGCAGAGGGTGGGGTGGGAACCGGGTAGAGGGGAGCTATGGGGGGGAAAAAAGAGGAACAACTGTAATAATCTGAACAATAAAGATTTAATTTAAAAAAAATAGGAATAATAAAGGGCTTTGCAAAAAAAAAAAAAAAAATGAACAATGTAGAGCTTGTAAGCTTCTCCAGGACAGAGCCATGGCTTTCACTTCTTTTTCATGCCTTATCTCACACAGCAATGAATACAGACTTGTTGAATTCAATCAGGCCTATGCCATGGCCTGGTGGGATCCCACAAGCAGGCCCCTCCTCAAGGCCTCATCTGTCCCTGCCTACAACTATAAAAAAATAGCTGAAACCCTGCAGTGCCTGGAACTGCCATTCAAGGCTGCTCCCACTAGGAGACAGTGCTGAGATCCAGGAGTCCTAAGGCTGGGACTGGGAAGGGTAAATATAGGAGGTATGGGTCCAGAAGATTTGGGAGAGAAAGTGGGAACTAAGTGTGGAGGAAAGGGATCATTTTCCTCAGAATTATTTAAGCAATGATTAAATCGTGGATAAATGAGGGAGGGTAGTGTAAGGCAGGAGACCACTCTTGGCACCCAGGACCCTGGCTGCCCCTGACCAGCCCTTCGAGAACCAACCCCTCCCTGTGATGACAGGGGCAACCAATTTCTGTGCCACTGTTTCCAAAGGAGGGCTGGTCTTAAGGTCGGCATCAATAGACACATT